GGTCGTCTGAGGTCGGACCTCTTTCTCTACCCTCAGAATGGGAGGTCCAACACATCCAATTCCCCGGAATGTCCTCAGGGACAACAGAAGGCTTATTTTATTTGTATTATTGTTTTCTTTCTCTTTTAACTTTTTATTCCATGGAAATGCACCAGAATGGAAAGACTTTAAAAATTCAACACAGACATGAAAAAGCGGAAATATAGACTGTTCCAACATGAGACATGGAGAAAGGATAATTACATGCCATATTGAAAAAGTGCTGTCTCTCTTGAATGTGCCTGTCTTAACTCTCTTGAAGAAATTCCATCCAAAAAGTTTAATTGGATGGCCTCAAGTTCTAGCATTAAGAGAGGGAGAAAAGCTTTCTTCACCCCATGCATCATTTTATACGCTTCTATCACGTCCCCTTTTACTCACATTTTCTCTGAACACAAAAGCCCCAAATATTGTAATATTGCCTTATAAGAGAGTTGTTCCAGCACTATGAGAATTCAGTTGCCCTGTTCTAAAACTCTTCCAGCCCTACGACATTCATTTTGAGGTGAGGCAACCAGAAGCGTACATGGTATTCCAAGCATGGTCACACCATACATTTTCAAACCCTTTCCTAATGATTCCTAGCGTGGAATTTGTCTTAAAAAACAAAACAAAAACAGCTGCTGGACACTGGTCCATCATTGTGCACTATGGCCTCAAGTTCTCATTCGCATTCAGTCACTGGCAGTTCAGACTCTATTAGCACATATGTGAAACCAAGATTTTGTTGCCCCAATGTGGATCACTTTGCACTTGCTTATATCAAATTCCTTTTGCTGTTTTACTGTCCATTCACCAAGTCTGGAGGCTAGCAGAGCTTTCTTAATTGGGGCTCATCTGTCAAAGACGCCCAGGCCTTCTCTGGACTATCTATGCATCTTTCAAAAAAGTATTGAGGAGGTTCTTTATATATTTCCCATCAGCAGACGTTTTGAGATATTTTATGATTTCATATGTTGTCTTACTTTGCACAGATGGAAGATGGTACTCACTGAGGAAGTATCCTTACTGGTTTCATCCACCAAGTGTTACATAACCAGGAATATATCTAAATGCTAAATTATGCTTCTGGGACCTCTGGCGCAGCCGAGATAGATGTTGTGACTTATGAATTCAGGCAGCCTGCTCTTGCTTATTACAGAAGTTAACGGGGAGAAAAGGTTTTTTAGATCAAACAGCTCTTCTCACTGCTTATGTAGGTTCGAAATATTTGAAGTTGCTCAAGAGGGGATTCGTTTTGAAACTAAAACTTCTTGGATTAATTCCTGAGTTGTCAACTGAGCCAGAATGAAACCTGGCAGGCTCAACATAATCTCTGTATATGTCAGGCCATGCTTTTATTTAAGCAGCTCTGCACTTGGGGCTTAATTTTTTACTGAGCTATTTATGGGTAAATTTATGTGCATCACAAATGCAGAAATGTGCAAAACTGAAGCACTGCAGTCAGGTTGCAACCATATGGGTTGCGAACATTTCAGGGGCTCCTGATGCAGCTCTTTAAACAACTTGGAGAAAGCTGCTACTCTCTGTACTTTTTGAAAGAGGTGAACAGGAAAAGCTTAGCAGATTGTTTGCTGGGAGAAATTATCCTGCATCCCAGGGGACAATCAAGAGCCTTCTGAGCTCCATCTGTTACCCGGGGTATAGCCATAGTTATAAAATAAAAACAGAAAAATAGTATTCTAGTCAGTTTTATGTTGCTCAGAATAAAATAAGATGCAAATGGAAGGCAACATCTTTTAAAAGTGACCTACTGTGCTTCTTGAAGGGACGCAGGTGGCGCTGTAGGTTAAACCACAGAGCCTAGGACTTGCCGATCAGAAAGTCGGAGGGTAAGCTCCCGTGGCTTGGTCCCTGCTCCTGCCAACCTAGCAGTTCGAAAGCACGTCAAAGTGCAAGTAGATAAATGGCGGGAAGGTAAACGGTGTTTCCTGAGGAGATTTCACCCCTCCCATATCCAAGAATCTCCTGAGGAGTCTGCTGATTCTCCAGAGAGGAGGAGGCGTGTTCTGCTCTCTACTTATTCTGCTCCAGCACCAAATCAGTCAGTCAGTCAGTGTCGGAGAGAGAGAGAGACTGAGTGTTAGAGATCGTGTGTAGAGATAAGGTTGCTGCTAAGAGCAGCTGCAGACACTCAGTGCAGTGCAGCATTCATTTATGCTTAGACCTATTTAGCTCTGTATATAGTTGTATAATAGTTGTAGATAGAATAAAGAAGATATTCTACAGAGCTGCTCTCCGAGTTGTTTATATACTCTGCTATACTCTGCTGTGCGACGACTGTCTTCTTGTGGGAGTGAATCCGGTGCTCACAACTCTAAGCTGTGAGTCCACAGCACTTTGACCTGTTCCTGTGCAGAAGGTGGTCTCTGGAAGTGCTACCCAGCTCGCCTAGCCCAGTCGGGGCTGAAGTGGATGAGTCCAGTTGGTGGCACTGGCTCAAGGGCGATGCTGTTTGTCAGAAGCGGCTTTGTCATGCTGGCCACATGACCCGGAAGCTGTACGCTGGCTCCCTCGGCCAATAAAGCGAGATGAGCGCAGCAACCCCAGAGTCGGCCATGACTGGACCTAATGGTCAGGGGTCCCTTTACCTTTACCTTTTACTGTGCTTCTTGGAATAAATTAATACTATGTCAGGAGAATCAGGCTCACACATAACTAACTTTCTACACCTTAGCAATCGTCAGTTAAAATATCTGTGTAATGGGATTTTCAAAGGAATATCTGAAATTTTGGTATTTTAATTGCAACGAAGGTGGCAATGCTCCTAAAATGACAGGACTTCTCCCATTTATTGTGTCATAGTGTACATCTTAGAACTATGGCCACTGGTGTGCATGGTTAATATAGATTTCTTCTCCATTTGCAGTTTTTCCAGTTTGTTGGCTTTTCTCCCCGATTGTTACACTAGGAATGCATCTTTATAAATAATAAAAAGGCTGGGCATATCTACATTATGAACCTTACAGTCTTAAACTTAAGCTATCACTGTTTCTTTCGCAAACACCCATGGGACCTGTAGATTTTGGCCCATGTTGTGAATCCTGTATTTAAAAAAACCCAGTGCAATCTGAGAACTGTAATTTCCAGGCCCCTGTGTGGAACCATGGGAGATATGCAGTCAAATCTAACAATGTGCCGTATTTTTCACACCATAGGACACACTTTTTCCCTCCTAAAAAGCAAGGGAAAATGTGTGTGTGTCCTATGGAGTGAATGCAGGGGGGAGGCAGGCGGGAAAAGCTCCCAAGAGCCGCACACAAGCTTCATGCGCTCTTGCAGGAATTCCCCCACCTCCCGCAAAAGCAGGAAGAAGGTCTGGGAGAATCGCACAGGCTGCCTGCAGCCTGTCCGCTGCTCCCAGACCTGGGGGGGGGGGGGGGGATCATATGTTTTTCCTTGATTTCCCCCTCTGAAAACTAGGTGCGCCCTATGGTCAGGTGTGCCCTATGGTGCGAAAAATACGGGTATATTCTTGTTAGTTAGCACGTGAAGGGGTTAAGACCATACAACTGTATTGCTGATAGGCAGACTCAGAAATGTAATTGGTAGAGAAAGCTCTGTGTGATGTCATTTCCCTTCCTCTCCTGGGAGGAAAGAAGCAAATAAGTATTTCATGTCCCCCCCCCCCCTTTCTCTTTCTCTTCAACTAGCCATGGCAGTGGACATCTGTCTGCTTGCCTGCAGCTGTTTTTTGCTGTAGATGTAAGTATTTTACCTGCAATAGTTGTTACTGCTGTTGCTGCTCAGGAGTATAGTGAGTAAACTATATATTTTAAACTTCTCAGTCTGTAGCCTGTTCCTTTGATAAAAGGGGTAACAAAACAAGGAGATCAGCCTAATGGCTAATTCCTATGCTTTCTTTTAAACTGCTTAAGATGGGATTTAAACTCTGCTGAGATGGCTTTCTCTTGTGGGAGGGTCTGCAAAAGCCCTGCACTTTGAAAAAGGCTTGCAACTACATACGTATTCTCTTTGCCTCATCCTACATAAGTGGGTCTGTAGAGGGATAAAATATAGTTAAGATTACCTACTTAATAAAACCCATCAGGAACCATCAAAACAAAACAGGTTTGAAAATTTACAGTGAAGAACTAAGTTGAAATCATACTTCATGTGCATACCAATCTATACTGCGCATTCCAATAGCAGAACCAACACTGCATTTTGTGGTAGTTTTTAGACACCCCAATTTCAACCCTTCTGCTCTAGCTCCTTTCCTGTCAATTTCAGCCTGGCTGAAATATTTGAAATACTGGTGAGTTTTTTTGGAAGCTGCCATGATTCTCTCTCTCTCTTTCTCTTAAAGGAAGCACATAAATATTGTAATGAAATGCAAATGTTGTGTTATATAGTTATGCAAGCTAGAGATTCATAGCAATATGCATAGCAGCTTGTGCCTTCAGTCATTTTGAAAAAGTTAAGAAAAGAGGAGGTCACTAAACATGCCTTTCTGTCATCATGAGAATTTGAACATAGAAAGGGAGAAAATGTTAACTAAAAACAACAACAACTATTTGGGGACAAAATGCCACTCCAGCAGCAGGGATCTGGGCTCAAAAGTAGAATGAGGATGCATAGCAAGTACATATACATAATCTTAAAAGCTCCGTATCAAAAAGCTGCAAGACGCACATCTTTTAAAGCTCTAGTCTCTGCAATTTTCATCCTCTTGCTTCTTTCCTTTCTTCTCAGTGGGGTCCATGATGCCAAAGGAACCATTACTTGGGTTCTTGCAGATCTGTGATGCACTGTTCCTCCTAGTCCCAGCATGTGGTTAGAAAAATGGATGAACTATTGGTGACTTGTGGAAGTCAGCTGGTCGTTCACCACACCTCAGCCATGCGATTTATCAGCAGAGAATGTGGAACCCCAGCAGAGACACCAGACATTTCCTGCTCCCAGCAGAACTTCCTCTTCCAGAGTCCCTGTTTGACAGAAAAAACTCCTCTCCCACATAGTTCAAAGTAACAAAGTGTTTATTGTCTCCAGATACAAGACAAAGCTAAACACTACTATCTACTATATACAGTTATTCTGGTCTTTGAAGTAGAGATACAAATGTACAGAGTGATCGGCTAGCGCTATCACCATGCTAGCTAATGCCGCTGTGTAAAACCTACCCAATTCTCTCAGTCAGACCATAGCAGCAAACAGGAATAGTATAACCATCTCTACATTCCTGCGAAGGGTGAATGACTCAGCAAGTCATGCCCTTGACCTTACTGGTGTTGCTATGGTAACCCAGTGAGCCTGGCACTCTTCTCTTAGAACATCCAGATGTGGGACATATGCTCCTCAATGCATGAGACCAAGCACTGTGCAATCTAATACATTGTTCACATTGCACCAACATGAACTGCAGATTCATACAACTCTCCTTGTAAAGAGGCATACCAGTGGATTCTATTTCGACATTCACTGTTTAAAAACTTTCCTATGCAGCACGTGGCTCTGCAGCCACAGTCTAAATACCTCTGCATGTCACATTAATAGTAAACTGGAACAGGAAACAAACATTCTGTGTAAATAATTTATTAAACCATAAGATCAAAATTGTGTTGATATTCACTATTGAAATATGAGTGACAATCTACTTATGCAATATATCCTTATGCACTGCCATTTTATCAAAATCTTTATTTTTCTGGTGGAGTTTGACAACAACGTATGCTAAATATATAACAACATTTTACAGGGTTGGCTATAACTGAGGTTTGTATTAACATAATACAGAAGGTGTGGAAGGTGAAAACAGCTTCTGTACACTCAATTCTGACATAAACCCTTAAGCAATATCATTTTTAAGAAGCTAGATATTTCTTAACACACATCACATTTGGTAAACACAACAAACTAAAACCCAAATATAAAATTCCACGTTTAAAGTTGGATGGCACAGGGCTAATGTAGTTGCACTGTCCTGGTTCCAGACATCACTGAAACAATACTAAAAACACAATTCCACACAATTATGTTTTATCTCATATTTTCTAAAGCCATGATCCTAAATCTCATGTGTTCTGTGTCAAAGAGCTATGGCCGTAACTTTAATTTGGCCTTAGAAGTACTTTTCTCAAATTATTTTCAAAAATCTTTGCACAAAGCACCACCCGACTTCTTACAAAGAGGAAAGTTTATGTGTGTTCATCGAAACCCATCTAAGCTCTGGCTAATTCCTACGGCTGTTCTTCTTTAAGGATGTTTTTCATAGCCATGAAAATTCTAGGATCGACTTCTATAAATTATTCCCAAGGAAAACGACATCCTTAGCAACCTTTCAACATGACTATTATTCAAATGGTTCTGAAACTGCATGTAAATTTTAACTGACGTTTTAATTTGATTACTTGCAACTAATTCACATGAATTGCACACATTATGAATTATCCTGATGACAGCAGGTGTCGGCACGTCTTTTTATATTCTTGGGTCTGAGATTGGTTTGTTACGATGCCAGCATTTGAAATCAGTGGTTGAGTACTTGCTTCGCATGTGTAAGGTCCCATAAATCCTTGATGTTTCTGGTTAAAGACTACCGTATTTTTTGCTCTATAAGACTCACTTTTTCCCTCCTAAAAAATAAGGGGAAATGTGTGTGCGTCTTATGGAGCGAATGCAGGCTGTGCAGCTATCCCAGAAGCCAGAACAGCAAGAGGGATTGCTGCTTCCACTGCACAGCAATCCCTCTTGCTGTTCTGGCTTCTGAAATTCAGAATATTTTTTTTCTTGTTTTCCTCCTCCAAAAACTAGGTGCATCTTATAGTCTGGTGCGTCTTATAGAGCGAAAAATACGGTATTTTGTATCCAGGTTGAGAAAGAGCCCTGCATGAGACCTGTGGGGGTTAGGGTTCATTGAAAAAGATGAAGATGGGCTGAGTTCATGGCTAAGGCATGAGGATGTAATATCCTTTCCTAACCATCAGTAGCAATAGACTGGGCTGCACATGTAGTAGAATGGAGTGGTTAAATTCTGAGCTGGTAGAATGGACTGTATAACTCAGAAGATCTTATTTTGAATGCTACTCCAAAGAAGAAAAAGAAGGGGGGGGGGAGAGACTCACTGCAAGTAAAAATAATAATCTAGTATGTTAATAATGAAGTCTGCTGTGCTGGAACCCAAATGAAGGGAATTGCAGGGGAGCATTCAAAAATATGATGCATCACAAGCAGTTCGAAAGCCAGGAATGTCCCCAAACATTTTGTTGTGTGAGGTGAAGGACCAGGTGGCACCTCTCCCTACAGCACAGACAGAAGCCAGTTGAACTGGTTGATGAATTAACTTCAACGCTAGTGACAGGACAGGAGCCTCCACCACACCAGAGGGCAGTGCGGGGGTGGGGCAGGGCAGTCCTCATGGCAGTATACCTCTGTCCCTTATCAATTTGCCACCATTCCTGACATATGTTGCCTAAGGCAGCCACCTCACTCTGCCCATTAGTAGGACCAACCCTGCTGAGGGGCCAACCTAGAAGAGACACCAATCACATAACGAGCAATTTTGTGAATGGCTTTGTAAAAGTGGCAGGCGTGGATGGGAACCTTGGCATGGGGCGACGGGGCTCTTTGGTGCCAACGGAATATTCTCTTCCAATGCAAATAGCAGGCACTGGGTTCCAATTCCAACTGGGACTTGCAGATGAGGCAAAGGGTTAAAGCCCCTTACTGTTCTCACCTGGATAACCAACCTCGTTTTTACTGCATGTGTAGATCAGACCTATGTTGAACAAGTCAAAGAAATCCTAATATTATTTTAGCAATCCTTTGTGCCTCTTTGGGGAAGCCTGCCTTCCCACTATGGGATAATAATAATGCTCAAGGTTTGTATAGCACTTTCAAGTGTCCATTGTGCTTCGTGTGTGCTAACTTATCTAGTTGTAATGCTTACAACAACCCTGTAAGGTAAGTCAGCATTGTTATCCCCCATAAAGTAGGGGGTCGACTGAGACTGAAAGGGAGAGAGAGTTGCCTAAGGCCACCTAGTGAGTTTGTGGCAAAACATGAGATTTGTAGCTCAGTTTCTCAGCCACTTGGCTACGCCAGCTTTCTTGACTAAGTATTTGGGTGTATTAAATCCAAAAACATAAACAAAATAAAGAATATATCTGAAAAATAGAGAAAATACTGATACCCTGTTTTATCTATTTTTCCCCCCAAAAGAATTTTTTGTCTCATTAACATTATCTTAAAACATTTGTAATATATAATAAGTACAGATCCTACCTCTGGAACACATACATTCTGACAATATATATATGTTGGGGATATATATCTATAGATATAGATTTATTTATTATATCATATCATATATATCTTATAAATATACTGTAAACATTATAGATTTCTGAATAATTATAGCTATAATACTAGCAATATCTATATTTAAAAATACAGTTCAAGGGTCCTCTAGTCTTACTACTTACAGAAGACAGAATTAAACCTGCTGAACAGAATTTATGAATACACCAAGAGTAAAAATGCTTTTACAAATAAAATTCTGTATAAATTAGGGCTGCTGTTTGATTAAAATAAAGTTTAGTTGATTAATCCACTGATAAAAATCTGCCCAAATTGTTTATTATTATTATTATTATTTATTCTGTATAGGCTATGAAGTGCAACAGTACACATGTCTACTCAGAAAGAAGTCCCACTGAATTCAATGGGGCTTATTCCAAGGTACGTGGTGGAGTAAGCTGCTACTCCAAGGTACCTAGGAGTAAGCTGCATAGAACTCAGTGAGCTTACTCTTAGTAGACACGTACAGCATTGTACTGTTAAGGCTACATAGTTCCAAATGAGTACAAAACTATAGTTTTGAAGAAGAAAAATTCCTCCATTGTTTTTAGACGATGCAAGCATGTGGTGGAGCAAGCATGATCTCAGAAGCACCATTACTTCCTATGAGGTGGAGGAGGAAATTGCCCCCCATGGATTTATAACCACTTGCATTAAAAATAATAATTAACCATCAAAAACAAAACAAATATTAATCAGGAGCATCTCTTTCATCAAGTAGCAATATTTTGATTCAGATCCATTGATTAATCAACTCAACTCTGCAGCCACAGTATAAATATTGTAATAACTCCCAGGAAGGAAAAAAAGTAGAGAACTAGATTACAAACTGGATTTCAGATCAAAGTACCTGTACAAGATTGTGAAGTGAAGATGTTCTGCAAGATGCAAGAAGGGCTTTTGTAAGTGGTAACATTTTATAACTGATGCCATCTCTCCCTGAATTTGTAACGTCTTGGGGCCACAAGCCTCAATCCAGATAGGGAGATTTGTACATTTAAAAGGTGGTCTTCCTCACAAGTATCACTTACTGGCTTAGGAAGCGTGGACACAAAAGGGGTGGCATTCAATTGTCAGCACCCAAATGTCAGCACATTGCTTTCAGTGTGCAGTCTAGAGCACTTTTCCATCTACATTCTGAATCAGCTAGTTCTGATCCTTTTAAAATCAACTAGTTCTGATCCTTTTAAAAGCATGGCTTAGGCTAGATAGGGCCAGAAATACTGGACAGCTGTTACTCTCAGCAGTGGCCCCATCTTGCATCCATCTGATAAATTCCCACTGAAGTATCACTGTAAAGCAAGCAGGGTTGGACCATAGACACATTCATTCATTCATTCATTCATTCACTACCAAAACTCTCAATTTTACAGAGTGTTCTTTTTCTTTTTTAAAAAGCCTTACCACACGGAACAGGAGTCAAAGAAACCTTTCATCCTAGGACTTCAGTACACCAAAAAACCTTTTTTGGAAGGATTTCACTATGTTATTGACCTGCCAAGCAATTCTTATGGCAGCCTTTCACAGTTTGCTGGTGAATGCAGCTGTTGTATTGTCATTGCTGCTGCTCTTTTACTGCATGTTGGAATTCAAAATACAGCTTTGCTGCTAAATTGTTGGATTCTTGGTTTAGAATTTCTTCTTCGAGGACAATCTATAATTAAACAACAACAACAGAAATATTGAGGAATTAACCAACATCTGTCCCTTCTGTCTATTTCCTTCATTACTCTTTTTCATCTACCATATACGTAGCCGCCAGGGAGTCACTACACTGGTATTGCCCAGCATTAATATCATGCAGCCATTAGTAGCCCTAGCAACTAAGGGCCAGTCAATTGGTCGAGCAGCCAGATGATAAGTGTAGTCTGCTCTTTTTTGCTTTGTGTTTGGCTCTGTAGCGAATGGTGGGGCAGCTCTGTTCACATGACCTCTAGTTGGTCATGCTGTCTCTGCTTACTGAAGGTAAAAGGGGATGGACAATGCGTCAGGATGGACAAGGATGGCACAGTGCAAATGCACCAGTGGGAGAACTGGATTGGTTCTGCCATTGCATTTGCAACCTTGCCCCTCTCCATCTATGTCTCAGTTAGCAGCAGTGATGTGACCACCCAGAGGTCAGGTGAATGTTGCAAGCCCACCATGCTGCCTGCTACTGGTCTTAATTGTAAAGAGTTTCCATACAACTGCAATTGTGCAATGGAGCCAACAGATACAACAACTGTATTGAGACCAGGTGTCCTGCAGAGGAATCCTATTCCTTGTTCAGGTGATGGAGCAGCTATGGATCCAGCTCTGGCCTGCTCTACCCCACATCAGGGTCCAACACTTGATGTTATCGGTGGGAACACTGCTGGAGATAGCTGCTCAACCGCTGTGCTTTTTAGAGGGTGCAGTAAGCCAGCCAACAGAGGGCAATGACCAGACACTGCCTCGTAACTCCCTCCAGCAGCACAGGTCAGGGGTTAGGACTGATCTGGTATTTCTATATGATTCAGTTCATATTCCTGAATTTTGAACTTGAGCCTAACAACTATATTTGAGAATTCTGCATAAAATCTAAGTTATGAAATAATCACCTGCTGCTCTATTATCAATCAACATTGAGCAAGGATTTTAGGGTATGGCATGTCAAAGCAAATTATGGATTAGCACCTAAACCCAAATTGTTAAAGCAGGGCTTGTGAAACTACAAGCAGGCTATGGATCACAACATGCCAAAAGTCTTTTCTAATGGTAGGCTAAAAGCAAGACCATCGGATTCTCTCACCTACGACATATGGTTTTGTTGTGCATTCTGCTGCTGCTGCTGAATTAGCAACTGCTGCTGTTGTCTGCGCCGTGCTGTCCTTAGCTTCTCAAAGCGAGCCTCCATCTCATCCAACACTTTGGGAGTGTAGCGCACCACTAGCTTGACGCTGTCCTTAGCGGCCTTCAGGAGCTCCACAGCTTTTTCGTGATGCTCTCCTTCCACACTCTGATTACGAAAGGAAAGAATAGTGAAAAACCACATATTGCAAGAGCTGCCTTTCTATTAAGGACTTGGGTTTGGAAGGCAATACCTGAACTTCTTACGCTTTGCCTGCTGGAAAGTGTCCAAGGGAGAGTGAAAAGGCAAGAAAGCAGAACCCAGGATCAGGGCAGAAAACACAGTTCCAGCAGCTTGATAAAGCCTTCAAGTCTTTTAGCTTTTTGCAGTTGCTGCAAGAATTATATTAAATATGCAGTTGGCTTGTATTGATGCACCTACTGCAGGGATGAGTTCTCAGATAACTGGCACCTACAGATTTACTGCACCCCAACACCCCTTCTAAAATCAATATATGGCTACACAAAATCTCCACTTTGCAATTTTTGTATCTGAAATGTCACATTATGACTGCCTGTTGTTTTGCTTTGTTTTTGTTTTTAATTATCATTGACTTGCAAACTATTCCTGATATTGCATATCATAACAGCAGCTTTTTGTAACAACACAACAAATGTTTGCAATTCCACACTGATCCCATCAAGACTCAGGAGCTACATATAATGGTTTGTATCCAGATTTCACTCCAACCTGTGGGAGCATCCCCTCAGTGGAACTCATGGGACACTCCCAATGACAGACCAATAGGAGACAGCTTTTGCCTGTTTCTTCCTCCCACTACAGCCTCTAGGACCATCTTCCACAGTTCCTGAGGGTTAGGTGACTCTTGAAGCAGTGTAGGGAGAGGGAAATGGCAAAAGTCTTCCATGGATGGAAGGAACATTTCCATCCATGGAAGGTGATGTCTGGACACAGCCCACAGTATTTCCAGCTACGACTTCTTACTTGCAGCATGGGAGCTGAAGCTCCTTCAAAAAGCACAGTTCATAAAAAAATAATAATCAACATGTTCACATACCACTCCATTAACAGAAAGTAACTGGTCTCCCCGTTTGAGTCCTCCATGCCTCTCAGCTACTCCTCCAGGAATTATGCGAGAAATATAAATAGGAGAATTTTGTTCTTTTCCTCCCATTACATTAAAGCCAAGGCCTTCATCAGTCTTTGGCAGTTCTACCACTCGAGGGTGAGAATGGCCTTCACTAGCTGCAAAGGCAGCAACTGTTGCCTAGAAGAAAACACATCTCTTCAGCATATAGCGAGTACAATGAAAAGCACTGGTGCTGACTTTGTTTAAAATATTAATTTGGATGAAACAGTATTTGCAATTCCTTAATTTTAAGCAAATATTCCACAATTCTTCTGAATACGAAGTATTGATGTGGAGCATTTAGTACAGAATTGCCCAAGGCCTCCAAACACAGTTATGTGCCATCATCGTTGGTATTATGACTGGGGTGCATGAATCCCAAGTTTCACATGTGCTTAGAGGCTCCCATGGAGCTCCTGCACATTTGGGGATCCCTGTTTCCATAAACGCAACCCATGCACATGAAGCAAATATGAAAATCAGTTCTGTGCACTACTTGGAGAAGTTTTTCTGGGCAGAGGGATGCCATGATTTCGGTAGAGTTTCTAAATCTATAAGCAGTTTTCTATGTTCTCTAGAATGTGACCTCCCTATGAAACCTGAATAATAATAATAATAATAATAATAATAATAATTTATAATTTATACTCCGCCCATCTGGCTTGGCGTCCCCAGCCACTCTGGGCGGCTTCCAACAAAATATTAAAAATATAGTAAAACATCAGTCATTAAAAACTTCCCTAAACAGGGCTGCCTTCAGATGTCTTCTAAAAGTCAGATAGTTGTTTATTTCCTTGACATCTGATGGGAGGGCGTTCCACAGGGCGGGTGCCACTACCAAGAAGGCCCTCTACTTGGTTCCCTGTAACTTTGATTCTCGCAGTGAGGGAACCACCAGAAGGCCCTCAGAGCTGGACCTCAGTGTCTGGGCAGAATGATGGGGTGGAAATGCTCCTTCAGGTATACTGGGCCAAGGCCGTTTAGGGCTTTAAAGGTCAGCACCAACACTTTGAATTGTTATTTAAATTGAATTTTTATAATGCAAACTCTTTCTGCTGTGAATAATGATAATAAAAAGTAAGCTTTGCCAGACTACAAAAAAGGGAACTGTTTTTTTCTTAAATAGATTAAAAATGTATTTTCAAAGTAACTTTTAAAAATGTTTTAACAGATTTGATTAACAACTGAAAGCTCTGCAGGGCCTTTGTGCACACACTGAGCTTCATGCTAGCAGGGGCAGGCATGCAACATCCCTCAGCAGCAAAGTGGAATCTGTATACCATAGTCTTTACATGCGAAGTAGAGCCACTGGACTCTGGCAATGGTAAGGAGTGGAAGAAAAAATACTTTAATTAGGGGAGTTTAGTTTAAATAACTGTGTCGAATAAATTTAGGACTCCTGAAATTAAAACAGTTGCTGAAATTAAAGCAGCAGGAAACCAGGATTGCATTGCTTAAAAAACCCCAACAACGTTTAGAAGTATACCTTAATTCTCAAAATAAACCAATTTGCATTGTGGAAACAGACATTTTCCCACCAGCAACTGTTTTTCAAAGTGTTTTGTATGTTTCTTTGGCATGTTAAAATGCAGAAAAGAAGCTAGCTAAAGTTAAACACTTTAAGGGCTTCATTCATTTCCATAGGAGAGATATACACTAGAATCCTATATTTGCATATTCAGAAGTAAGTCCTATTGAGGCTTAGCCTCAGGCAAGTGGCTATAGAATGGTAGCCCCAAGCACATACATAACTCTTCTATTGAAATAAATGATGCTAGAAAGTGCTTAACTTCTGCTGGAATGATGCCCACGGTTCCTAAAGGTCCTATGAGAGATTGTTCTATTAGGGATGTTTAATGGATGGAACTAGGTAACATGAGTATGAGACCTTAGTTACATATGCAACATGTGTTATCATGCAAAAATTGTAACCATGCACACATTAAATGTCAAACATAAATGCACAAGATAATGCAATGCAGACAGCCCAGAAAAAACCAGGAAATATTGTGATATTGAAACATTGCTCTACAATCCTGCTGTTCTAAATGAATAAGAAATGAGAATGGCAAACCTGGAGAGTTTTTCACCTTTAACTGTACTTTTCTATCCACAGCAGAAATAATATAGAACACACCTTTCTTGGATAAGTACTTACAAAGCTCAAACCACTCTTGGATATGTGCAATGTTCCAGAAGCTGATAACATAATGGAGGAATTTTATTTAGACCTACCAATAGCTTATTAAAGTTAAAAAGTACTGCATGGCTCAGAATGGTGTGTTTTTTTACTCTCTAATAATCTAAAACACATTATTTTAATGGTTTTAATAATACATTTAAAATAATGTTTCCCCTATATCAAACTTTGGGTTTTCTCCATTTCAAATCAACAGGATTCTTTCACTGGAAGTGTGGAAAGAACATTAGCATTAATTGCTTTGATTTGCAAAGAACGGTGTTCTTAGGTTTGTGTGCATATGCTTTGTAAAAGTTCTACAGTTTTCTTAGTTTTCTTTCCCCTGCCTCACTCATGCAGAGAAAATTCATTCAAGTTTTATCAGTGTTATAAGGCAGAATCTATTCCATGAGGAAATGTGTATTTTATTGCAAACATTTATTCTCTGCACAATGTGAACACAAAAGCACATTTCAGATTTAGTTACAAAAGCAATGGGATGGATTGGATAAAATGCTAAACCACAGTTTAGCATTGCAAGGATGATTCTAGCCTCCCACTGGGCTTGCACATGCCCCTCCCCTCTACACAGAATTCCTGAGGTGTTATGAAGCTTTCACTTCTGCTTCGATTAACCTCAGGTTATTGTGTAATCTGAAGCCACACAAACGGTGGTTAATCTTAACTATGGTTGGTGGAAGCAAGCTAACTTCAAACCATAGTTTATTAACTTAACTTGCTTATCTGAACCCCATTTCATGTTTTAGATGGCATGCCAAACTTTGGTAAATCAAAGATGGAAGAAAAAACTTCCAATCTCCTTGGAGTTGCACCAGATGGGAGAAGTAGGAAGCCTGGGAAAAGCAAAGCTTTTTGTAATGATAAAACCAATGGTTTAGTGTTGCAACTGAACGCAGCCATTGTTTCTCTTGATGTTGGGCACATACAAAGATTTGTAAGGATTCTTCCTGAAATTTCGTCATAAGGCCCTGTTTTTCAGAAGTGATGAACAACACACAGCTGCTGCTGCTTTCTGTTGAGGAAATATGTGTTCAGCATCTCTGAAAGTGAGAACCTTTACTGTCCTAAAGGCAGGCCTGTGCCATACTATGAAGAAAAAAAAATGTTACAGGAGAACTTAGCTAAAGAAGCGCGAATGGCCAGTACATTGTTCTATGCAATGAAATAGTAGATTTGCCCTGAAGCTGGCTCCCCGCTCCCCACACTGCAAGCCTCTTTATTCTGGAAAGCATTCTCTTTTCTTAAGCTACAGAAGCAGCAGCAAAAAGGTTGAATTTGCCATTATAGTTGTTACCTGGAAAGTAGCACTGGTTCTAGACTCTGGGCTGCCACTGATGTCTAAATTTTCTTACAGTCTACACACGAATACCTGAAACATACACGCGCACAGTCAATTACTGGGGCATCTTAGGAGTGTATATTTTAAAGCTGCAAGCACCCTACCTTTGCTGTTGCCCTTGCGCGGAATTCGGGGCAGCCATTAACGTTTATGGTTTCATGCATATATTGATATACCTGAAGCGGAAAAAACAAACAGAAGCAAAATGAATCATCGAGTGTTTCTCCGCAAGTCAAAAGCTCTGAATACAATTTAGTGCTTGTTTGCCTGGCCAGTTTGTTTTTTTTATTTCTCATGTCATAGGACAATGCTACCTCCAACAGCCTTTTTGTACTATAGATTTAATAATCCGTATGTCTCCCCTCAAGGCTATTGGAAGCATATTGCCATATTTCAAGCACTCAAACATCTATATTTGATACACAGAGAATATGTAACACTTCCTTGGATTGCCATACATGGAACACTTGAGTGGGCCTGGGTCCCCATAATCATGTAAATGGGTGCATTTCATCCTTCACACTTTATATATTTCTTGTAAAAAAACATGAGTGTTGCACTGGCGTGCACAAAGCAAACACATCTGCCTTAGAGCCCTCTTTAATTAAAAAACAAACAAACCACTTTTACATTTAACTATTAGCAGCATGTGCCAGGAGCAGGTCAGCAATCAATCACACGGCATCAGTGAATTAATTCTTTCTTCAAGGACACAAGGTTGACTCAGGAGGCCATGCCTAGTGAGCACAGCAACTCGTCCTGGTAGATCTTGCCCCTATGAGACAGTTGTGGGGGCTGAAGGTCCCCACCTTCCCACAGTTCCCTAAGTCTCCTCCTCGCCTGTGTCCTTCCCAAGCAATCTGATATTCTGCTGTTGTGCCTCTCTTCATACTGGGTCCTGGGAGACCAGGGGGGAGAGGAACTGGTTGTAGCATAAGTGGGAGACCCCCCTGGCTTCTTCACCAGCCTGACTCATCTCTGCTTCTTGTGCCCCATCCTCTTCATTCTCCGCTTCTACCTCTGATTCTGCACTGCTCTCTACCACAGCCTCTTCCTGCTCATCAAACCCTGTTACTTCTTCAGCTTCCGATACCTTCTCCACCCAGTCTGCTCCCTCTGACCACTCGTCCCACCACCCATCCCCTGGCTCTAAGTTTTCTTCCCTTGGGGGTTGCCCAGCTGCTGTCTCCCACCACTCCTCTGTACCCAGCCAGTCCATGACATTAATACAAACAGACACACAGACACACACACAAGTTTTGCCTGTCTTTTTGTCAAGAAGCTGAACTTGTTAGCAATGTGAACTCCGGTAGTAAGACACCAACAAGAGCAAAGAACAAAACACCACTTTTCTTGATTTCTTTTTTCACACAGAACTACTAAGAAGATAGGCCCTTTTAGTGTGGTTTAATTATTTAACACCAATCAAAAAATAGGTTGCATTGTTGACTTTCTTGGGGATTTTTTCAAAGTTTTGCTGAGAGTGTTCTTTTCTGCTGTAGAACTGACCAGTGAAACTTTCAGTAAAGGCAACATTGCCATTAAGATACTTTGGACTAAGTTGTCAGTTCAGACTTTGGTACTTTAATGAAGATATAGATGAAGATATCGACAGTGTGCAAAGGCTGTGAAAAAGGCAAACTCCATGTGCAGACTTCCCCCCCACTTTTGGTCCTGGCACAACAGCAAAGAGGAGTAATTTTCTTTTTTAAAAAAATGTTTACTACATAATCTAGGCATGATGTTGGCACATCACTAACGACATTACTGGATGCCCTAAGCATGGTCCCTGTTCTATACCCAACAGAGCACAGGATCAGACTCTTTGAATATCTACGAATTTCTACATTCTTATACAGCGGAACTGTACTCAAACAAGTTGCAGCAAGAATGCTTAGTGCACTGAAGATACCTACTGGCATATTTATTAAATTTGAAATTGTAGTCCTGTGGCTCTAATCAAATACTAAATCATCAAGACATCCTTAATCATCTCAGGTCTAATTTAATGTACCATGACTTATTGGTGTGATAAATAATCAAGTTATAATTGCTTTCACTTGAATACTCACTCCAAGTGAAAAATGTCAATGTTTAAATAATGTAAGAGGCCATCAATTAATTTCAGAGTCTGCTTGATATTATGCTGTTCTGCTCAATAGCAATAAACACAAAGTGGGTACTATGTTTGCAGTACTAGTGTGGAGGGACATATCTTTCTGTTTCTGCTCTAGGATCCAGCAGTGTTTTTTTATACTGGGACAATAGCAGTCAGTACTGTACTGAGGAGACATCTGTATGTGGGTTTGAGCTTTGAAAAAGGATTTTTTGGGGGGGATGATAGCACCTTTGGCACCTTGTTCCATCTGCTACAGTGTAACACAAGAGCAATTTTCCAGGACCAACAGCACAAAACATAGTTATGTGGACATGTTTTGTTTTTTGAAGGCTCATAGGGCACAGCTGGATGCTGCAATTGGTTCACAACTGCAAGCCAGAAGTGAGGCATAATTGTAAGACCACAAAAGATACATCTAATTTATCTTTTCTTATTACAAGGAGGAGGAATGGATGCTGCAAGATAGTGTGGTTTGTCAAACTGGAAATTAACAATAATAATAATGCTGCCACTTAAAAGGAAACTGATTTCGAGTTGCACAGCTAAGTCCACTTAGAGTATACCCATTGAAACCAATGGATAAGTTAGTCATATCAATTGATATCCATAGGTCTGCTAATGGTATGGCTTACTTGGTCCCAGCCCTCTGAGCATAATTTTTGGTGATGCAAATGGATCTTTGATATCCCTCTAAAATGCACTTTAGTATGATTTAATGAATGAGCAGTATGATTATTTTGACCAGGGTGAATCTGGTTCAAATCCTACATCAGCCATGAAATGTTCAAAGGGCCCTTTCACAAGCTTTCAGCCCAAACCACCTCATGGGGTTGCTAAGAGCAGAAAATGGGGAGGGTAGCATTTATGTTGCATTCAGCTCCTTCAAACGAGGGCAGCATATAATTGCAAGAAAGAAATGCTGTTTTAAAGAGGGAGATGGCAAATAAAAAACAAGGGCCACAGTCCTCCTCATTATTTAAGCTGCCTTCATTTGTGCAGAATTTCAGCAATGATTTAATGAGCTTTAGATCAGAAAAGACTTGGTCCAGGCAGGGTTGACCAACATAGTGTATTAATAATGTTTGCATTTTATCTTAATCTTGAGAGATATGCTTTTTTAAAACAGCACCATCCCTTCTAATTTTGAACTCAGGTGGTTGAGTGCCTATTAGTTTTGAAATGAAACTGAGTCATCCAAAAATACAGAAATGGTTTCTTCATATTTCAAGGACTCCCTAGGCATGCAGAAGGCTAAAAACCCCTCAAACCTGCCTGACCATAACTAGAGTGTTTATAGAATGTTGAGAGGGGTGGGGGAATCTAAAGAAACCAGAAGGGAACTTCTTAAATTTTGACAACTTGCAGGTCTGAAAACAGATGTTTTAATTTACTCTTGAATGCCTTGTCCCCCACCACAATAATTTATTTCAATATACATTGGAAAGGTCAAACAGTAAAAATCTGGCTGATTGACAGAAGTTAGGCAGACTGGGTGAGTCTTTCAATTAGGTCTATGGTTGAAAGCAGTTGAGGCAAGGAATGTCCAGAAGTTTACTGTAATGAATAATACTCTCTATATGGGGCTGCTTTTAAAGACAGTACAGAAACTTCAGCTGATACAGAATGCAGCTGTTATGATGCTTGTCAAGGGGACAGGCATTTGAATCAATGCTATACCAGTTGCACTGGCTGCCTATTTGCTTCTGGCTTCCATTTGAAACACTTGTTTTGATTCTAATCAATTAACCCATTTCACTAATAATGCATGTGTTCTTATTAACTGCATGTGTAGTTCAATGCTTTTGAGATCTGGGTCAAATTAATAGGTCTAAATGATTGACAATTAGCAGGCTGTTTATTACTATTATTAGAAACTGGCAAAAATATCCCAATAATTTTGAACTGGGGGTAGCCAAGACTATATTGCCAATAACACACTTGTGCTTTTTTTTAATCATACTGCCACTCGCAGCTAACGGGAACATGGAAATGATCAGTCTTTGGAGCCTCATAATTAGTATATTGCTTATGTACTGATCTATTAATACAGCATCAGTTTAAAAGTGTAAGATTGCCTTTGCTCAATCTGATCAGTGATCCATCTAATGCAGAATTCTGTTTCACTCATGGCCTGTTGGATGCCTGTGGGAAGTTTATGTGAAGGACATTAAGGCAACAGACATAACCCGCTGTCTGTACTAACATCTTTATTCACCGCCTCTGAATTCAGGGATTCAGTTTTGTTATCATGGCTGATAGCTGTTGATAGAACAAGCAGCCATCACCTGTGTACTGCAGGGGCCAGCAAGGTTTATCTTGCCTGGGCTGGATCAGTGCTGTGGTGATCCCTCCGTGGACATGCACGCCCGTGATTTCCAGCATCTGTGCATGCGCAGACGCGATTTCCAGCACCACGGAAGTGATTCCCCACGCCGTGCTGGTTTACTGTAGTGCGTGAGTGGGCAGCTCAGTTCGGGGGTGGCTTGTGGGCCAGTCAAATGACCTCCGTGGGCTGCTTCCAGCCCATGGGCCTTAGGTTGCTGACCCCTGGTGTACAGCATCTTCTGGTAGAAAGTTGCTGTAGTCCTATATAAAAGGGCTCTGGCAGCAAGCAAGGATCACTAAAGCTCCAATCCTACCAAGGAGGGCAAAAACCAAAGATGGATGAACAGCAGGGTAGATGTGAGGTAAAAAAAAGAGAAAGAACACTTGAAATCCTTCTTCCTTTAAATGTATCCCTTTTTAACATTTCCCTTTTCATCATGGGAGAGATTTAGACCAACTACTGAGCTGGTCTAAATCTTCCCTATCTTGAGGGTATGTCAGAGGACTGTGGCAATTTTGGATTATTTGGCTCCAATATGTTTTCTGGTCCTTCCCTTGCACAGTTCCATCATGCCCCCTTTCTGGCCCTACTGATGTCGTGGCTCTGACATAGATTGTGCTGGGATATCAGGCGTTCCCATGTTGGTGGGGAGTCGGGATCCAACCTTGGCTCTCCCTCTTCAGTGTTGGAAAGGGAGATCCAATGTATCCTATGGCCCCCGAAATGGTCTCCCAGGGGTAATAGGATCACCCCCTAAATCTACTACATGTTTCTGAACCATTATTGCCCAGGTTATGAAAAACACCCACTGCACTCATATCAATTTTCAGCATGCGTTATATGCTGAATGCAGAAAACAGTACCACCTGACTCCTAGATATGCCAGGCAAGGATGCACTGAGGTAAGGAAATGCATATGTATTGTGGCTGTCAAGCACATCAAAAATTAAGCTGATTAATTATAGAAGCTTTAGCAAACTAATTAACCACTACAATTATCATAAATTATAATGTGCAAAATAAAATTATTTCAAAGACAAAATGAAGTTCATTTGCAAAGAACAAGAGCCAACTGTCATGGGGCCAATCTGGAGGGCCACAGGCTTACTGATCTACGTGATACCCACAAGGGGGATTCTAACAGGCCAAATGATTCTTCGCTACTGCAGTTACTAAAAATACTGCTTTGACAGGACAGGAGAAAGCATAGTGGCAACAAACCCTTTTTATAAAATGGAAATTCAAATCTCTTGTGAGAAGAGGAAAAACAAGAACAGAGAAGAAGCGTAAGGAAAAACAAAAATAAGGTCCCAAGTTCTGCTAATCAGGGAGGCACCACTGCTCAGTTTTGGAACATGATTTGAATACAGAAGATAATGGCAACCCCGGCTAAAAAGGACTCAGCAGATCAGGCCTCTGTCTGAAACATTATAGTACTGCTGACAGCTGATGCTAACTGTACTGTGATAGACGCACCAATGGTTTGACTCAGTATAATTGACATAATCTCCACCAATGCATAAAGAAATGGCCTATTACCTAATGCAGCTTTTACTTTGCTATTTACATTGTGGGCTGATGGTTAAATATATGGGCATATCCATACCGGAAGATGGATATGCTTCTTCGGGCACCTCTGCTGTTGGAGGCAAGGTGGGTAACTGCTGGGAGAGGGATTTCCCAGTGATGGTGCTCCAGTTAGGAATGCTTTTTCAAGAGAGGTCCTCTTGACACTTGCCTTATTCATTTGGCAGCAGGTAAACGTCATTTAGGGATGCGGGTGGCGCTGTGGGTTAAACCACAGAGTCTAGGACTTGTCGATCAGAAGGTCGGCGGTTCGAATCCCCGCGATGGGGTGAGCTCCCGTTGCTCAGTCCCGGCTCCTGCCAACCTAGCAGTTTGAAAGCACGTCAAAGTGCAAGTAGATAAATAGGTACCGCTCCGGTGGGAAGGTAAACGGTGTTCCCGTGCATTGCTCTGGTTCGCCAGAAGTGGCTTAGTCATGCTGGCCACATGACCCGGAAGGTGTACGCCGGCTCCCTTGGCCAATAAAGCGAGATGAGCGCCGCCATCCCAGAGTCGGTTATGACTGGACCTAATGGTCAGGGGTCCCTTTACCTTTACCTTTTTAAACATCTTTTATTATTATTTCCCTAGGCACTTTAAAGTCAACTTTATGCCTGCTGTCTTACCCAGGGTGGCGGGATTCACCGGGGCAGCAGATCCCAATGATGATCATTCTTCCGCCCTTAATGTAAGCATTTCTATATGAATTTCTGTAATAAGGTCATTGCACCCACACCATACATTTAAAACACTTAAAACCACTTTAAGAGTCATGGAGAATCCTGGAAACTGTAAATTGTTAAGACTGCTGGGAGCTATAGATCTTCAGTCAGCACTCTTAATAAACTACAGTTCCCATGATTCTTTGGAGGAAGCCATGGATGTTAAATTGAGTGCTTTAAATGTAGCGCATGCTCCACATCAGGGAGCTATGGGTCTTTTACAACAGTCTCAACGTCTCTTGTCCTTTGTCCCCCCCTTTTTAAACTTTAAAAGAAACACATATTTTTGCATTGTTTTCAGAGCAGCTTCTTTTCTGAAAGTCAGCCTACATTTGCAATTACACACAGAAATAAAAATGTGCAAATTTGTGTTCTGGGTCTGCGCCGCAAGTCTTTTAAAGGCCTAGCAATGTCCCTGCCTTTCATGCAGAAGACCCCTGATTATTGCCTGATAAAGAAAGGATTTGATAGTATCTTATGGAAAATACCTCCTGAGACTCTGGAGAGCTACCATTCAGCACAGACAATACTGGCCTGCATTGTCTGACTGAGTATACAGTAGCTTTAAGTGATGATTTGAATAAAAATAAAATTGGTCTGTTACTAAAGCTGTTAGAGCTTTGGTATGATACTCTTTTATTAATCTGAAAAAAAAAGTCATGTGCTTCTGTCAGGACAGTGTTAGCAGGCCTCCCTTGGAGACAAACATCTGCATCATTACGCCAGCTGTCAGAACAATTGGATGCCATGCAAGAAAACTATGTGTCACTTTGCCTCATGCAGTGGGGATGATGATTCATTAACAATCCCAAACCTGCAGTGAACTAAATCTCATTTAGCTCTCTGTGGAGCTATGGCATTTTTAATTACAAAACATACCACAAGAGTATACGGAAAAAATATAAAGGTCACCTAATGAAATGTTTCTTTGAGAGTGTGAAGAAGAGGAAATTAGACTTATTTTACCATATGGGGGGGGATGAATATTAATTATAGTTAATTTCAAACCTTATATTTGGAATTAAATATCCTGAAAAAGCATCGCATCTGAACAAAGGAGGGATGAAGTGCTTCCAAATACAAGGATTTAAGATACTGATATGGATTTCTGCTTTGCACATCTGCCTACTTGCATCCATCTCAGTGTGCTTCCACACCAGATCTGTACTTTGCCTTCTGACTTCACTGTGAGCTGTGGAGGGAGGGAGGAACAGGGTGCTGAATGAGATGCAATGGAGCATTTCACTAAGAAATCCCTCAGCAGCCCAAGAACAGACGTCTGATTCTGATCATGGTTTCTTTAGGGAAGAACAAAGATCCTGGTTTGGATAAATTATTATTTATACCCCGCCATTCTGGGGGGTTTCCCCGGCCACTCTGGGAGGCTTCCAACAAAATATTAAAAATACATTAAAACATCAGTCATTAAAAACTTCCCTAAACAGGGCTGCCCTCAGATGACTTCTAAATGTTAGATAGTTGTTTATATCTTTGACATATGATGGGAGGGCATCCCACAGGGCAGGTGCCACCACCGAGAAGGCCCTCTGCCTGGTTCCCTGTAACTTCACTTCTCACAGTGAGGGAACTGCCAGAAGGCCCTTGGTGGTGGACCTCAGGGTCCGGCCAGAACGATGGGGGTGGAGACGCTCCTTCAGGTATACTGGGCCGAGGCCATTTAGGGCTTTAAAGGTCAGCACCAACACTCTGAATTGTGCTTGGAAACGTACTGGGAGCCAATGTAGGTCTTTCAAGACCAGTGTTATGTGGTCTTTGGACAACATGGCATGTCAAGGTTTATGGGTTGTTGCTCCTGCTTGTGCTATGGGAGGAGTGAAGCAGCAGGGATGGACTTTGGGGCTTTCAAATTTCAGTGGTGCTCTGTGTGAGCCCAAAATTCAGCACCCCTTACCTTCCGTTCTGCTCAACATCATAGTTGGGACACCCTGCGGTGCCCCTTGGGCTCGGTGCCCAGTGGAGCAGAACTGGTCACGCTGCCCTAAATCTGCCTCTGGAAGCAGGAGCAACCCGGCAGCATACTTTCTCACAGCAAGCCATGGTTTATGGCTTATTGCAACATGTGAACATGGCCTACCAATGCAATCCTATGCATATCTACTCAGAAGTCAGTCATATTGAGTTCAGTGAGGCTGGTTTTCAGGTAAGCATATACAGGATTGCAGCCTATGTCCAGTGCTCATCTTCTGTGCAACACTCAATCACTTTTAATAGGCTTTTTTTCTCTCAAAAGATGTCTCCCAGTGGACTTTGCTAACAGTGGGAATATAAATACGTAGGATGACAGTGCACTGCAGACCATCTCCACCGTCAGCTGCAATTTTGCTCAACAGTGGATGAAGATGAATAGCACTATGTGCTTTAAGTCTAGGATTTTGTAGAACTAACTATAGTACTGCATGGCAAAGCAGAAATTTGCAACAACCTGCAAGCAAAGGGAACAGGTAGGCAAGGTCCATAAACAAATCTTACATCACAAACATGGCTTACATAACTATAAATAATTGTGGCAATAACTGAAGTGAATCAGCATCTACAAATGTGGATTGTTCTATAGAATTTAAGGGACTGACAAGAGCAGCACATCAATATCTTACCATTTGCTAGTCAAGCTTTCTGTATTCATTCCTACCCCCCAACCGTTAGTTGTCTCATCCCCTCCTGAGGGTCATCTAAGCAACCGGGCATAGCTGAAAGTATGTACATTGCTGGTGGTCCAATATTTTCTTCCCCTGCAACTGATTTTTATCTTAGAGTCAGTAGGGGACCTCTGATTACACATCAGTCCTTTCATGTGACTCTGAATTCTGAGGTATTAACATTTGTAGCATCACTGAAAGCAGCACAAAACTGTGTATCACTAGCAGTCGTTTTAGAACTCCTGTAGTGAAGTCATCAGGATGTAGCAGCCGTAAATAGGCTTAACAAAGCCTCTTCTTCAGTAAATCTTGGGTTGCCTAGCCGACTCTTGTAATTAATGACAGCAATCTGACGCATGAAAAAGGCAATCATACCTAAAAGTTCTGATTCATACTATTCAGGGCTTTGTGGCAGCAATGCCAGGGAGCCACTGGTTGTGAAAGAAAATACTTAAGTTTGTCATTTGGCAAAAATTACATTTAGTGCCCTACTTGAGCTATAGCAAATGTTATCATTATACTAAATGTATGCAGAAATACCCGCTTGTGTGGCTTTTTATACCATGCATTCTAGCTGCCCAAAACCATGATGCACAAAGGGGACAGCATAGATTTTTCTATCGCCACACCCATCCCTGTTTCCAGTCAAGTCTCCTACAAATATTCAGGTTCTATCAAGAGAAGGGTATTCTCTATTGCTTTGGAAGACAGGTCACAATTGTGATGGTTGCCCAGCTGATGTGAAGACATGGCCAGTCTGCAACACCCCCAGTTTATGTCGGCTGTCTCCTCTCCACTTCCACTTCCTTGGGAAAGAGATACAGCTCAGTGGTAGAGCATTTGTTTTGCATGCAGAACATCTCAGGTTCAACCCCCATACATCTGCTGATAGGCATGGGAGAGACCCACAAACAAAATCCTGCAGCTGCTACTAGTGAAGGCAATGCTGAGCTAGATGGCCCCAATAATCTGACTTGGAATAAGGCACCTTCCATGCTCCCAATGCCCAAGCAAGAAGATCTCTAAGAGATGCAGTTTAATTTTCAGCCTGGGAGGAAGGGTAACTTCCCAGCCACTACTGAGCAAGTTCAGCCTCTTTCTTTTAAGTCTGCTGGGTCAAAGTGTATCTTGTGAAACCACGGGAGGAGAAAGTACCCAATAGTGCAGATGGAACCTGTTTTTTGTGTTTTTTTACAAAGTCATGTGGAGGGAGATTTGGGGAGGCAAGGAATAAATCTGCCCTCCCTCCAAGTTGCAATCCCAGTAACAATCAGTTTCCCACAGCTGTAAGCTAATTCAATAAAAAAACAGATGTTGTTGCATGCAAGACATTAAGCATGACATATACCTCTGACCCTTAAAATGCATTGGTGATACAAGACCAGATATATTTTTGGGCTTAGCAGGCACAGGATCTAATCAGATTTCTAGACAAAATTAGCGAGCCTAGCTGAGCAAGATTTATATTATTAACACAAAATAAAATAAAATAAAAACAACATTTCATGCTTGGGTGACATCTGTTATTGCTGAGGCTTTCCCAATTTATCTTTTGCAATAGGCTACATGTCTTCTCCCTAAACCCTGGTGAGAAGCAGATCCCTTCTGAACTCCAGATGCAAAATATAAGCCACATTCACCTAAACCACATTTTAGGTCTACATACATGAGGTGGAATGAGTCTGAGAAAAGCCTCAGATTTGCATGCTCCTTCCTCAGTCCCCTGTCCTCCCACTTAGCTGAGGACTTTTTGAGCAACACTTTAAATTGATTGGCTTGTCATTGGGTATGAATCAGGGCTTATAATCTATCAACCACGTTTTGAAGTTGGCTTGCTTTTGAAAATGACCAGTGTTTGATACGCAGTTAATTATAGACTATAATCTCTGGTTCACACACAACAAACTGAGATTAGCGGGAAAGTGAAAGTAAACACTGGCAAACTCCTTCTCTTGGCCAGATGGGAGTGTGCAAGCCTGAGGCTTAACTTGGTTTCATGGCATACATGTGGCTGCTTTGAACCAGAGGTTCAAAAAGCAGTGCAGGGCTGCATGAAAGCTGTTTTGCAAACATCCCCATCTTCCTCTTTGAACCTCTGGTTGCAATCAATGAGAAGGAAATAGGTTGGTGTAAAAAACGGGTTTATCCCTCATTTGAGGGGTGTGGGTGTTAGGGGAATGGAAGCATCCATCACTTTTCCTAATGCCCCCCCCCCTGCCTTTTTGCCCTCTGTGATGTTGGTCAGGCACTGACTACAGATCTTTTCACAGCTTCATGGAGGAGTCATAGAAGGTCAAACCTCCCTCTCTGGAAGCATGTCTCAGGGAGGGAGACACAATGAATCTATGGTGCCCCAAACACCTTCCCAGGGACCATAGGATTGTTTAATATTTCTTACTAATGGAAACAGGTTTACCACACCTATCAGCCAATCACCCATTCCCACCACCTTTCTGAGCAATACCCCTGCCCATCCTCTCACTATATATAAGGGTCTGGTGACTTCTGTTTCAGTGTATCTGAAGAGGTGTGCATGCACACGAAAGCTCATACCAAGAACAAACTTAGTTGGTCTCTAAGGTGCTACTGGAAGGATTTTTATTTTTTTATTTTTTTTTTACAATGGAAACTGAAATAGTGATAGTTCACTGATGGACAAATTTCAAGAGAGCACAATGAAGGTGTTAGTTGTGAGTGTGTAGAGCAGGGGTCAGCAAGGTTTACCTCACCTGGGCCGGTTCATTCCCGTGGAAATCGCTCCGTGGGCCGGATCGTGTCTGCGCAGACATGATTTCCAGCACCGAGGAAGTGAGTCCCTGCTCCGTGCTGTGCCGGTTTAGCGCAGCACATGGGGACTCACCAAACAGGCGGCTTGGTTCAGAGGCAGCTCATGAGCTGTTTAAATAACCCCCGTGGGCTGCTTGTGGTCCATGGGCCACAGGTTGCTGACCCCAGGTCAGGATGGGTTGTTTAATTTCATCCCTTGTAAATGAATCAAAGCCTATGTTATGAGACATATTGACTGTATAACAAAATCAGTGTTCTTAACACACTGATTTGTGGGGACAGATATCTGTAGAGCAAGTAATGGACATTTTGGGATGATAAAGGTAAAGGTAAAGGGACCTCTGACCATTAGGTCCAGCAGTGACCAACTCTGGGGTTGCGGCGCTCATCTCGCTTTATTGGCCGAGGGAGCCGGCGTACAGCTTCCGGGTAATGTGGCCAGCATAACTAAGCTGCTTCTGGTGAACCAGAGCAGCGCACGGAAACACCGTTTACCTTCCCGCCGGAGCGGTACCTATTCATCTACTTGCACTTTGACGTGCTTTCAAACTGCTAGGTTGGCAGGAGCAGGGACCGAACAACGGGAGCTCACCCCATTGCGGGGATTCGAACCGCCGACCTTCTGATCGGCAAGTCCTAGGCTCTGTGGTTTAGCCCACAGCGCCACCCGCGTCTCCTTTTGGGATGATACCTTCTAAATATTCCTCCACCATGGCTGAGATTGTTGCAAGGCACCAATCAATGCCTCAGTAAGCGTAGACATTTAAAGAAAGTGAAAGCATCCTTTCATTCAACATATGGTTTCTTTCCAGCCTTAGGCTATGTACACATTCACAGTTTAAAATGCACCAAGGTCATTATGCACCCCCACTCCCATATCAAGTAGTATTTGCAGGTTGTTGTACACACCAGAGAGGGACTGGGGATGTCAGCACCCAATGTGCATTATCTGTTGGGTCTTCCTGCCCCTGCAGTACTCTCCCCCCACCTCCAATTCCTATTTCTGAAGCTGTCATCCATGCATGTGCAATGGCTACCTCAAATGTACATACCTCAGCTTAACTCCGAAGTGGATGTGCCTTAAAATTTCCTTTAGGATTTAAGCTGCTTTAAAAGAAAATGCACCCAGGAGCAGTTTTTCTCCATAAACTACAGAAGAGCTCTGCATTGTGGGTAGCATCACATGTACACAGATTCAAAAGCCAGTGGCAGGAGTGCACGGGAGCCAGAGTAAACGGTAATGTGCGCACAGACCTATTTCAAACCCCTTGTCATTTTCTTGTGGTAGGAGTGAATGAGTTTCGAAAAATCAAGATCTTCTCATGGTGTAACAGTCACTCAGCAGTCGTAACTAATCAAGAGTTGATAACCTGAGCATACTTTAGTGCAGCTATGCAATCACTTAAGAGGTTCATCTGTTTCCTCATTGTGAGCTCATTTTCTCTGTTTCTGGAACAGTAGTTTCTTTTTAAGACGTACAAGACTAGTCAGAGGGATCATGTTAGGTACTTGGCATAAATATCAATCTATTTCTTCAGAATTCAGCAATAACTGGTTAAACATATAATTATATGCTCTTTAGGCTGCTGTCTTATACCTAATTACGTGGAAGGAAACATAATTGAACTCAATTACACTTACTTCTGAGTAGACATATGTAGGATTGCACTGCGAAACTGAACTTCATTTTCTTGCTATTAATGGGGGTGTGGAGGTCAGCTGTCACTAAACAATAGCCCATAAGAGCTTTTGTGGGCTATTCACTGTCTTGTCAAAGTCCAGCTAGATAGCTTTTAGTTCATTCAACCGATAGTGAATCACAGTCTAAGTAATTTTCTGCTTTCCTGAATTTTGCACCTGTTACAAAGGACTGCATGTTGGCTGCTGTTCAGAACACTCTTCACAGATGAATATAAATGTAATCGACATTCCTAGTAGTATTACAGAAAGGCAAATCTATACCACATAAAGACAAAGCTACAATACAGCCTGTCATCAGTTAGAAGCTTTTAGTTGGTCAAATTAAAGGCCTTCATCATGATAGCTACTGCAAATCAAAGACAGCACCAATCTTTTGCAAAAGAGCAACATTATCTTTAAAATAATTTAAAAACATACACATTAAACTACTGTACACTGTGTGTGCTGTTTCTGTTAGCCATCAAAATATTTCTTCATTTAAAAACAGTGTTTCATTCTGTGTACTGTTATTGCCTAGGAACCCTAGTGTTGTTGTTGCTGCTGCTATTGCTTAGATAATAAATAAATCAGAATAGTGGCAGGCAGTCCATAGAGACCAAGGAAGAAAATGGAGGCACTTGCTAATTTTTAGGTACAAATTGCTATTTCCAAAGAGTGTTTGACAACACACTCCTGGAACAACAACTTTAAGGCTATTTTAGCCGACCATCTAATGTTTAGGTGGCTCTAGGCTTTGTTGTAATTAAAAATTATGAAGCAGATCAATTTCTCTCTTCCTTCCAAACACCTGTAAAACTGACATGAACATGTTAATGGAATTAAGAAGGGGAAATATAAATGGTTTTCTAATGAGTAACAGCAATGTTGTGAAGATGTCCATAGTGCCTTCCTTCCTGCCACAGATCACAAAGTGGTAAATCTACAGGGCTGCAATTAGTTAAGTAAGTTGAAGGTTTATTAGCCCATTTAAAATTTGTCCATGGAAGGATGCTACTGAATAATTAGTCAGAAGATTAAAAAAAAATAGAAATGATTATTTGAAAAATAAGTACTTTAAAAAAACTAAAGAAGGCACTTGCCTCTTCTAAGATGATGCTTACTGTTAATCTATTTATAAAACTGGACTTTTCCTTTAAAAAATATTGTTTGTTCACAGGGGAAAAAAATATGCAGGTTTAAATTGATTAATTAAAACTCCTACCTGTGAGAGAATGCCACTGAACGTAGTGTACATCATTTCCTGGTAGCCATGCATGGCATTGTGCCCATAAATCAAACAAATATTTCTTTAATCAGATAGCAGATTTATAAATTAGCTGACCTCACAAAGTTCTCCTTATGTTATGTGCGATAGAAATTACTACACCAATGGAACATATTTATTAAGAATCTGCTGTGTGCCTTAAGACCCCGATCTCTCTTGTTCGACACAGATGATTGGACCTCACAAGGTTCCTGAGTTATTACAAACGTTCATTTTTTTTATGGAGGCAGTAAGACTCTGGACACATGCCGCTGACTCTTATGGAAACATAATAGAACGATTTTCACTTATTTGCATAATACAGCATAATGTGCAGTGGCTCGTGCACATTGTGAGTCTCCCCATTAATAAATACAGCCAGCGATTCATTACCATACCTCTCTGATAGCTGTACAAAACTCACTCTGCAGTACTTTTTTAAGTGACTGCAGCTTGTGTCCTGGTACTTCTCCAGCTTCTTGTAGTTTCTCCAGCAGTTCAATTGCTCTGGCAACATCTGAACAGATAAAAATAAGGCAAAAGGTCAGGGAAGGACACATTTTGACTTGTATTACTGCTGTTCCAGCTACACCAAGGAGCATATGTTGCAATTTTCAAATTGGACAGTGAGATTTTGCCACCCCACATCCCCCCTCCCATCTGTTCAAGTTCAGTTCTGCGTTTTCACTGACTTAAAAAAAATATGACTATTGCTTTAGGCTGCAATCCTAGGCAGTCATACATGCAGGCATTGGAAAAGAGCAAATATTGCCCAAGGGGTTTTGAAAGTTTTTCCTACAGTCAATCATCTAGTTAATCAGGTAAGCCCACTTGGGCAAATCTTACAACACAACACACAAGCTGACACAATGCACCAAGCTCCTACATGCTTGACATACACCTTTCCCTCATTTTGGCAGTCTTAGTAAAAAAAAAAAAAAGAGGAAAAACCCCCTCAAACAACAACAAAAGAGCAGCAGAGTATTCAATTGTGGGGACTGGAATACCAGGATAATGGAATACATTGGATTGTTCAACAGTGGAACATATTACCTCTCAGAAGGTGGTGGGTGCTCCTTTGCTGGTGATATTCAAACCACCAGTGGTCCAATGGACATCGGCTAGGGGTGCTGTGGTTGCATCCTGCATTTGTACATTTTGCATTGAAGTGGGGTTGGACTAGATCAGGATTTCCCAAACTGTAGTCCAAAAACAGTTCCCTTCATCCCTGACCACTGGTCCTGCTAGCTAGGGATAATGTGCTTTGAAAACAGCTGGAGACCCAGGCTTGGGAAACACTGGATCAAATGACCTCCAAGGTCCCTCCTAACTCCCATGATTAAACCTGGCAGACCTGGTCATTTTGTTATTCCTAGGTTGGTTTGGGTACCTTTCAAGGCTATTAGCATTAATAATGGTCCTCTTTCGATCCTAATGCAGAGCACTAGGCTGAATGCAAGGATCTCATCACCTAATGCATGGCCCACAGATGGCTTAACTTCGGGAACACTAATGGAGAGAAGAGATGATGGCTCTGACCCAGTTCCTCACTCATTCTGGTGACAAGACCTGCCAAAGCAGATCAACCTTCTGTCCGCTGCCCAGAGGGACAGAAATGCAATGACCACAATAATGGGATGAAGAGCTGTTTATCAGCAGGTGCCCCATGTTTGCATGATAAAAAGTTGCTTGCTGGCATGCTTGCTGCCTCCTTGTCTTGCTATTTTGTGAGCTGCATGTATAATGTGAAGGTCTGGTCCTGATTTATTAATTTTGATTGACTGATGAGATAAGGGAAAACTACAGCTTTAAAGACAGTATCATTTTCTCCTGTTTGGTCTAGAGATGTGAAGGCTTGAGGGGAAAAAACAGGTGGGACCCAGTTTTGCTCCATTTCCTCCCTTATTTATTTCTTTAAAAATTGGGGGGAAATGGAAAAAATGGGTGAGAGGACCCCTCCCCCTGCCCCATATTTTTCTGTGGTCCCCTCTCTGCTCTGACTGGCAACAGCTCTCCACTGGTCAGGCAGAGGTTTGCCCCAGTCTTACTATCAGCAGAACTGAGCACATGTATTTACCAGGAAGACACAGAGCCAATTCATGTATGCATTTTGGTGTGGCAGGAGGTTTGTATAGCATCCAGGCTATACAACAAATCCACACCAGAACACACATTATGCTAAAACCTGGGAACAGCTGTAATGAAGCGTTAAAACAAGTGCTGTGCCAAAAATCTCTCCTATTCCCCCCTCCCATCTATTTTTGATGAGAAAAACTGTAGCAAATTTTTTTGAAATAGGAATAAGATTTTTGTGAAATTCTCATGGGTGGGGAGGTACAGTCTCATGGGGTTTTGTTGTGATTACTGGCTGCTAAGGTGGGCGTGGGCTACCTTTGAACGCCCTTTCTTTTGTTCCAAAAATAATCTCTCCAGCCTTCCTGGGTGTCCATTTGTCCTGGAAATCCCATGATGCCTTCAGCTGAGCTTCCCTGTAAGCACAGGGAGGTGATAGAGGTACCTATTATGAACCCAACAGCTGTTGTTTTCTACATGAAGTCTTTTTACATTTTTTAAAAAGTGTAAATTTAAAAATAAAATCAGTGACTGTGTCAATCTGAGATGCTTGGTAGCCAACCTCCTTAACTTCCTGTGCCTCAGTTAAAGCTCAGAATAAGGCATAGTGAAGTAAATTCTCCTATCGGTTTTTTTCTTCCAGATCAAGATGTGCATGCAGCCCAGAAGGTTCAAGAGCACTGGATGAATGTTAAATCTTTATTTTAATGTTTAATCCCCATGCAATGATAAGGTAAGATCAACCCTGCATTCACTGAATTTTAAAAAAAAATGCCACGAGAAAGAGCCAGGCAAATAGAAACATCTTTTGCACTGAAATAAAACTTTTGAGTTACTGGAGAATAGGGTTCAGAACAACACTAATTAAAACCAACAGTCCTTCTTTACAAGTATGGAAATCAACTTGCATTGAACAAGACAGAGATTCCTGGCTGTTCTACAGAGTGTGATATAATGAAGATTAAATGCTGATAAGACTATGGCTTTGCTGGGATGAGAAATTATGCAACCAATCTCCTTTATTGGCATAAAAAGTGCATGGATATACATGGATCGGAACACAACACAGTTAACGAAACATAGTAGGAGATACTTTAGGATAAAACTACCAGGACATCATGAGGTACAAAGATGGCTCTTAGGACCTATGGTGACGTAATTTCATAGCGTCACTCAAAAATCTTGCCACATTCTCCACAATATCATTGCTACAATCGTTCAGCAGATAAGACACACTGGAAGAATCTGTGCGATAAATCTCCTCTTCAGTAAGGAGGTCAAATACTTATCATATATTCCTGAATAAAATAGGCAATTAAATAAAATGCGTGTGATGGATTCGACCTGTTTTGTGCCACAAGGGCAGTATCTTTCAGAGTGTGGGATTTTCGAGAATCTACCTTGCTGAAGGTACACTTGCTGAAAGTCTTTGAGCCAAAGCTGAACTACAGTGACCACAATGTGATCAAATGGGTGAGGTACATTGGTAGGAGTGGAATCTATGAGACAAGATGGTAGCCCTGAGCAGCCAGCTGGCTCCCTCTCCCCTAGTCTCCCTTGATTTCAAAGTACAATTGAAGAGCTAGACTCCTGCGGCTTCTATGGAAAAAGAACACTGGTGCCTGCTTTGGCTTCAGTCACTGTTGGAGTTTGCAGCTGGCGTTGGGCAGCCAGATAGCTCCCTGTCCCAGCTCACCTCTTGCTTCTGTCCCAGGGTATAAAAAGGCCAGTCTAACCACCACCCAGGGAGCATCCACCACCATGTGATAAAACCCTCCTCTTCTGTTGGTGTCACCACTTGTATCATATCCTAGTATTTTTGGAAGTTCTTGTGCATACGTACTTGCTGGGCAAACCTTGAGTTGACTGTCTCCTGTGCTTGCTATTGCTGTTGTGATTGGTTGGCGGCTCACACTTCCCCATCTCTCTTTGTCGTGCAGAGTCCTTGATATGGAGCCCGCTCTGGGAAGGTCTGTGACCAAAAAGGCTGAGGGTTGGCATCTGCTCCTTGTTGGGCTGGGGTGGGTGGGCATGGCACAACATTTGAAAGCTTTGGAGTCCTGTTAATGGCTGGCAAGGCCAGCACCTCCCCCTCCCCCACCCCAGTCAGAACTACACCCTCCTGCAAAAAGTAAACCCAGCAGGCACACGAGGACAGATCAACTTGTCTTTAAAAATCTACAGGTTTTGTCCTCTTAATTTGAAATTGGCCAGTAAGTAATTCCTTGCCTCCATTCTTTTCTCTCTCGCTTGCCCCCGCCCTGCAATTGCAGTTCACCCCAGGGGATCAAAGACAACTTGTCTGAGTCACCATGGCCACTGCTCTAATAAACAAGACTTAGACATTCAACATTATAGTTTGCTTTTATTCCATACAATGAAATGGCCAGAGCATTTAAATACTTTTTCTACAGAATTACTGCTTGCCTAAACTGAGTAAAAAATCCATAAATTCATGTCTGTACTTGAATAAAAATATTCATGGCTTAAAAGCAAGCAAATAACCAATGAAAAGGGAGGAAATGGGAAATAAAAAAGGGAAAATTAAGAATTATAGTATGAAAACCATATTCCAGTTTGTGGGTTGCGATTATAGGATTCTGTCATTATCCTGTTTTGAATGTTCATATCCAGGGATCATTTTATACTCTATCCAGGTCTCTCTCTTTATTCTTTATCTCTATGTTTCGACATATCCAGCCCATTCACAAGTTATTTGCATTTAGACAGAGGAAGAAAATGAGGTTGAGCTTTGCGAACTTTGTAGTGAAAAGCCTTTCAAATATCTTAGGACAGATTTGAGAGCAAGATGAATCATTGCCAACAAGTTTGCATTATTTTGATGCCATACTCCTATGTATTAATTTCTGGGTGGATTTAGAGTAAACCCACCTCAGTCTCCCATTTGCCTTGTTTACAGCTAGCAGCTTTGATGAAAGATTAATGGACAACGTAGCGGCATGTGTATCTGTGGCAACAAGAGGAACTGTACGTTCTATGTATCAAAGGGACATTAATGATGTCTTAATGCAAGTAAGGAAAAGATCAGGTCTGCAATTTGCTGAAAGTAGCAGGCTATATATAGGGTGCTGTCCCAAGCCATCCATAATGCGATATTGGATGTTTCATCTAGATAATTTAAAAGTCGATTCATATATTATTACTGAAGGAACATATGCAATCTGCCTCTATTCCACCTGCATTAGCCTCTCTCCCTCCTTTCAGCAACCAATGCAGACAACAACTGCAAAGCTATTCAACAGCCTCTCCTGGCACAGAAGGATCCCTTGGTACCTTCATCACAGCCCTCATCTAACTGCTGATAAAAGTCTATCTCCAACCTCAGAAGCATAATATCACCTTAGGGAGCAAGCCTACATATGAGGCTGTTAAGATTCAGGTAGTCATCCTTTCTCTTTGCCTCCTCTTCCCCCCACCACTCCGCTCACCACATATCAACAACTGTTTCATGTCCTTTTGGGTGTTGCAGTTCTGAGATTATTACCTTGCTCTCTACATTAACTGCCTTCAGATTTGCCTGAAAAACTGGCCTACTTAATTGTTCTCCTGAAAGGTCTCAATATATTTCATACTAGGTTCAGCCAACTACCAAACACTCAACGGGCGTTTTCAAATCAGTAGTGCCCATATGTACATTTTAGGATACTAAATTTTGCCTCTCATAATGAATTCATCATGTATTGGCACTTAATGAATTTACTGGCAGTGGCTAGTGGCTAATTATATGTTTCACTTCTCTCCTTTCACTCTGCTATGCCTCTCTCCATTCTCAGTTTCTCCCTTACTATGCTCCACCATTCAGCCTTACCCACTATGTGCCACATGATCTTTTGCCTCCCAAATCCCTTAAACCCTGGAACATCTGCAATTCAATCTCCTGGTTAGTTGCACTGCAGCACGTTCCTTGTTCTGCCAGAACAGCTCCATGCAAGCTAAATGGCAATGCCTGTGAGATTAAACTATAAAGTGATTAAATTTTTTCATTATTTCGGAAATGTATTCTACGCAACAGAGAAGTTGTGCAAGACAGTTTTGCAGGTAGAGAAGACATATGCTGGCAGAAATTAAAGAAAGTAATTCCTGTGTTTGAGATTCAAGTAATCTACCACCATTAAATTAGCATTCAGGGATTTACAGCAGTTGGGGGGGAGGCTTTTTAGGTTTGAATTGCTTTACGATGTTTTGTATAGGATTTGTATCTAATTGTCACTCTTGCGTTCATGAAAAAATAAGGCATGATTTTATCTTGCTATAGTACAAGAAAAAGGAATCTTCTTTAGTGACTGGTAATATTTTACACTGTCTGCACTCCTATACTCTAATTAGCAGAGGACAGAGTTGCAACTAACAGAGAAATTCTATGCATTATCTGGCTGCCCCAAAGTTAGCCCCATTGATTTCAATGGGATTTACTCTGCCACAGGCAATTGAGACTGCAATCTTGTACATGCTTACCTGGTAGTAGCTACAGGTTACAATGGCAGAGTGACTGTGTTTCAGCCAGTGTAATTATTACGATCTGAAGGCAGGATCGGAAGACATCAGTTGGAATGCAGGATAAATGCACACCCAGTGGTAGAGTTGAGAACTGGGCTGAAGCATGAAGAATGGGAAGGAGAGCACCTTGGTACTAGAACCTTTTCTCAGTTGCTCACTTGTCTCCTCTCTATCCTGTGCTATGTGGACCAGCGGTATATCTGGTATTTTTGCAGGACTCCAGTACTTGAAAGATACTGGACGGACACCTGTGTAGCAGAAGCAGTCATATCCAACATGTGGCTGCACTTTTTTACTCTATTATTGTGATGAGGAATCTGTGGCTGCTCCCTCATACATTGTTGGATTCCAACACCCATCAGTTCCAACCATCATGGCCAATCATTAGGAATGATGGGAATTGAAGTCCAGCAACGTCCAGAGGACCAGAAGTTCCCCATCCCTGTCACCTTAAATGCTGGAAAGAAAACAATTTTGGTTCCCCTCCACATCAGCATTTAGTAGGCATTTTTTCTGAGGTGAAGGCTTGCCAAAGTTGTCACCCTTACTACTAATGCAGCTAATGTTGTTGTTTTTTATACTTCATATGAATGGATAGTATAAATCTAAGAAGCATGCCTCTACCTTGTTATTTCCTTGCTGTTTGTCTGGGAACTACTATTTACCCTACGTAACACTGTATGTTACAATGTCAAAACTGTGAATATTAGCATGGCAACACTAGGGCCTGTTTATGCATTTATGTAAACATGCAGATCATCACTGCTACTAAATGTTATTTAATGTCATTTTCATTTGCAAAATTCAAAACATTGGAAAGTTCAGACTGTTTTAGTAAAACATCAGTATTAATTAAATTTTGACTCACCTATACAGCTATCATGTTGAAGTTTATTAATAGTGAGAGTTTTCAAGTATGTTCTCAGATTTATGTAACTGGTGATACTACCTCCCACCTCCAAACAATATTTTCATTGTTTTATGTATAACTTGCCTTGCCAACTGGGACCCCAAGCAAGGGCATTTCTGTACCTTTTCTATACACTCTTATGTAAGTTCCACCTGCAACCTACATGTAAAAAGACAGAAGTGTAATTAAATCTAACTAAAGTTGGCTAGCCTTTAAAAATAAATAAGGGTCATGGTTGTGTGATACTTTCCTTTGAAAAGCTGTGCTTCCTAATGGATTGCCATCTGTTCAGCCTTTTGCCAGGAAATATTTATCCTGCTTAATGTGGTCACCACAGAGGTGGAGCTGCAGATTACACACTGAGCTTTTAAAAAGAAGAAAACACACATTCTTCCTCCTAACCAATGCTCTCCCTTTTATTTATCTAACACTTTATCTAAGCTTTCCTTTGTTTGATTTGTGTGCCATAAACCACACATTTCAGAAATCAATTTTAAGCAATGCACTTGTGGACATCATATTATAAATTCCTCTGCTCTTCATCAGAATCCAACAAAGTAAAGACTGTCTAAATTTTAAATGGAGACTGAACATTTCTTTTTTACATTGAATGTACAGCAGGAATCTCTCTGTCTTGTTTTTAAGAGCCTGTTGTAATCCTCTACAGAGCATGAAGACACTGGCTTTAATCATTCCCAAATCAAGTACAAGACTTTAAAATTCTTTAGGAAGCTTAATCCATACAGATCAAGATTAAAAAAAATGAAATGCTTTAAAGACTCTGAAACCATGTGGATGGAATTTATTTGATTTAATTCAGTAGAATGCACAAATAAGTAGTGTTAAACAGCAAATAAGAAAGCAAATTATTATTCTTACCTGTTTCAGGTAAGCACAATACCTCTATATTTCAAGTAAGCACAATAGGCCAAATGCCTATTAGGAACTATGTCAATCTTTTAAAGTATTTAAAAGATTTTATCATTTGACCATTTTTTTATCCCCAGTGTAACAGTAGGTTGGGACGCCGGTGGCGCTGTGGGTTAAACCACAGAGCCTAGGACTTGCCGATCAGAAGGTCGGCGGTTCGAATCCCCGCAATGGTGTGAGCTCCCATTGCTTGGTCCCTGCTCCTGCCAACCTAGCAGTTTGAAAGCATTTCAAAGTGCAAGTAGATAAATAGGTACCGCTCCGGCGGGAAGGTAAGCAGCGTTTCCGTGCGCTGCTCTGGTTCGCCAGAAGCGGCTTAGTCATGCTGGCCACATGACCCGGAAGCTGTACACCGGCTCCCTCAGCCAATAAAGCGAGATGAGCGCCGCAACCCCAGAGTCGGTCATGACTGGACCTAATGTTCAGGGGTCCCTTTACCTTTTAACAGTAGGTTTACAATACAAAACTTCATTTATTTTGTTAAGTTTTAAAAATAAATACATCTTCAGTAATTCTGCCTTATAACCTAATTATAGCAGTGAAGAGTGCAACAGTATTCCTCAGTTGCAGCATCAAGGATGACAGTGATAACGTAACAGATGCTAAATGGGAAAAGTGTGGTATAGTGGTTATTAGACTGGAAGGATATTCAAATCCCCACTCAGTCATTAAGCTCAGTGAGTGAGCCTGGGCCCGTCACTATCTCTCAGTTTAGCCCACCTTACAGGGTTATTCTCAATACAATGAAGAAGAAGAAGAATATTCTTCTTTGAAGGAAAGGTGGGGGAGAAATTTGACTAACAACCAGACAATTAGCTGTCTTTAGTGATATACCATGCTCCCACTACAAACATCAGTGGTATCAAATTAAAAGCCTACAGGGAAGGAATCAAGTGGTTAGTTTAACTAACTTAAACCAAAATAAAAAATTCCCCCTTATATGAAATTCTTAAAGGTATAGTCTCTCTAAGGCTATAGATCTGGCAGCCCTATCTCCACAATAGTCTCCAGTCCCAAATAGTTTCTAGTCCCCAATACTTCCCCCCATCCCAGGGCTGTCTCCTCTACCTGCCCTTTCCTCGACTCTGGGCTCTCCGCTCCTCATTTTACATATCTTGGGGGTCTTCTCCAAGTGAGTTTTCCATTTCTCAGTACAGGGTTGGGGAACCTGTGGCCCTCCAGGTATTACTGGAATTCAACTCCAATCTTCCCCGGGCTAAAGTGATCATCAGGGATTGAAGGGAGTTGTAGCACAGCAACATCAGGAGGGTTTCAGATTCCTGCCCCCTGCTTTTTGGCATGCTCTTCCTTTCCTAAGGTCTCTATTAGGGTTGAATTTCAGCCGAACTGCCAGCTTTCTGTTTTCTCACAGGAACCAGACTGCAAACATTCTGACAGTTTGGGAACGGATTTAGCTATTCCATGGCATCACACCAGCTCAGCCAATTGGCACCAGAAGCTTCACCATTGCAGCACAATGCAATACAGACTGGGATCAGAAGCACAAGAGCTTTCAAATCAGCTTTGATTCTGGTTCTGTACACGTGCAAGCCTTTTCTCACCCTGCGAGGGCTTATTTTTCTAGCAGATGCTTGATGGAGGACGTGAGGATGGGCGAAAAGAGCCCCCGAAAAGTAATCCACAGTTCCTCTACCACTGCTGTGGATACATCAGTACACTGCAAGGAGAAATCAGCTCCCGGCCATGCTATGCAGCGAAATAAGTAAACAGCAATGAAGACTGATTACTCCAAACCACATTAGTAATCCTTGTGCGGCCAAACTGTGACAAATGAGTAGCTTCCCCCTCCCAATGCATTTCCAATCCATGCTTAAGTGTGGAGTTGCGAATCTCCTCCACACCGATTGCTGTTCTGGACTGTGGGCTTTTGCATTTCTTTCTGGCGACAGGGCTCTTCCTAAGAAACCTGCCATTTTGGTGCAGGTGGGTACACCCGCGAGTCCCTGATCTCCAGGCAACGGGATCCTGATGACCTGGGGCAATCCGGCTCCCCAGTCTTCCCAAACTGGCGCAGAAGCTCACACAAAGTTTCCCTCTTTTTCATCCTCCCACCCCGAGCCCCATTCGCTCGCTGCCTCGAGTCTCCCTCCGCGCTCATCGGAAGCCCCAGCTGATCCCAGCAGCTCGGCTGCCGGCGCCCTTCTCCCAGGCTCGCGGCTGCCCTTTCCCGCCCGGCAAAAGCCGGACGCTTGACTCCGGCGCAGGATTCCAGCGAGAGGTCACTGCGGCGGCAGCGGCAGGTCACGGCTCCCTACTTGGCGCACTTGCCCGCCTGCTCTCGGCTCCTTCGGCCAAAAGGCAGCAGCGGACAAGCGAGGCAGCCTCTCAAGGATGGCTCGGTTCCCAGGACCCTTTCGTGGAAACAGCAGCAATGGGGCTCCAATGGCCCCGGACGGACAAGGCATCCTCGGAGCCCCCCCCCCCCCGCGAGCATGGCGGGGCGGACCTAAGGCGGCGGCGCGCTTACCTCGGTCCAAAGTGAGCGGCTGGACGGCTGTCAGCGTCGTCGCCATGTCTGCAGCGCCGCCGAGGCTGAAATGACGCTCGGCTCCAGTGTGAGGCGGGAGAGGGTGGCTGGGAGCGGGAGGGAGGGAGGGAGGGAGTGGCGGCGAGGGTGGGGCTACGCGAGGAGGAGGGGGCGAAGGGGAGACGCGCGTGGCCGGGAGGGTGGCGCGAGGGCGCAGCGGCGCGCGCCCAGGGGAGGCTAGGAGACGCCGCCGAGCGGACGGGGCAGTTGTCAGGCGGGCGGGAAAAGGGGAAGAGCGGCAGGCCGGGGTCACGCCGAGGCCAGCCGCATCCCTGGGCAACAGCGAGGGCGTGAGCGGAGTTTGAGGGGAGACGTGCAAAGACTCACGGGAGCTGGAAGGAGCCTGGACGCGTACAGCCCGCTTCTGCCATTCCCACCTCCCCTTCCAGGTCATGAGGTGGTGGCTTTAAGACTCTGGACCCTCGTCCTAGGGATGGCACCGTTCAGACGACCTGTGTGTGACCAGTTGAGAGTAGCAGAACTAGCACTTCTTCCCTCCTGCCCCTGCCCCCCGTTCCAAAAACAGAAATACAAAATCCCATGTTTTAGGACTGTTTCTACATTTCTGGACCTGATAGGATAGTGTGTAACAAACAAACCAAACAAATTTGCCAACCCCGTTTTGAAAGAAAGACTCTATGTGCAGTTTTTCACTTTAAACCCACTTCAATCATAGTAAAGTGGAGGTTTGCTCCTGACTTGCGAATAAGTGCTGGGTTGCTGTAGAAAAGGATGAAGTAAAAATCATAACATGAGCACCTGCAACCCCAGACAATACAATGTTTTTTAAAAACGTAAGTTTGGAAAGGATGCCATCAGCATCAGTAGTCCCAGGAGACCCTGGGCATGCTCATGCCAGCCTAGGTGCAGACACAGGATGCCAAGCCGGGGAGGTCTACATTTTATCCTAAGACTCAGCCCTAGCTGTACCACTGCCCTTCTGAATAACGCATAATGTCAGATACCACAGTGTCCCTCATGCAGGAGCAAACAAGGCACAGCACGGATAACCTGAGATGAACCAAGAAAGTGGGCCACACAAGCTGTGGAGGAAGGAAGAAGGAAAATTAGATACTCCCTGTAGGTGGATACTAGACCATATGTCATGCCGACTAGAAACAACTCGGAAGGAAGCAAAACCATGTGGATCAAAGAATCCCAGGTGGTTGTCCTTGCCAACAAATCCACCTGTGACACTTCAGCACCAACGGATCAAGTAACTCACATCATGCAGACTGCGGAAAATGCCACATGCAGAGAGCAGTAATGAACACTGCAAAGCTGCATAACCAGTTATGCTTGTACAGAGCAGAAATAGCCCCAAGAGGACCCAAGTGAATCTACAAAGCAACACTTAGGAGGAAAGCTCTCTCCTCCTCAAACACCAGATGTGATTACATGAGCATAACAAATCCCAGTGGATCAGATCTTCATATGTACATACCTACACACAAGCCATGATGTGTTGGCAGCTTTGAGGAAAACCAACAGGGAACCTTGTGGCACCTTAAACACTTAAGACGTTTTATTATGGCATAAGCTGAAGAGGAAGAGATGGAGAACAAGGTGTGGGTGGGTGGAGAAATCACACACATCTCAGACACACTTTTGCGCATACACACATTGATTATAGGTAGATACATTTGTACACAGCCCAGATGCATAGCACAGTAAAGAAAGATGTGCAGTCCCTCTGTGGACATACATACTGTGAGAATCAGATGTAGTGTTAAATTCTAGCAGAACAGCTGCACTACCATTGCTGTCTGTTACGATGTCTTAAAGACTAACACATGTGGCATGAGGCTTCACAGCCAAGAGCCTAATTCATCAGCTGCAGATTTGTCTGTTTACAAAGTGATATGGAGTCAGATGTTTACACACAGAAAAAGCACACATTGATATGTGTCTGTGAAGTCAGAGTTAATGGTACACAGATAAAAAGGGCCTCACTGAGTGATCTACTCCTGATAGGATTCTGCATTAGTAATGACAACAAACTCCCAGTGACATCTTTTTTGGAGGCTGGCTACTCTCTGGTGCTGCCTAAATATATAATTCCTATTATCTTCCACTGACCCTTATAAGAAAATAATTGGAAAGTTTCCTCCTAGCTGCCTCAGAACAGAAGAACTGCTTCACTTGGGCACCACTTGTAACCAATGAATTTTTGGTAAGAGAAGTTAATGCTCAGGTGCTTCCTTTTCCAGAACTACAATCCTGCCTGGGAAAAATTCACTTCAGCAGACGAATCATGGATGGCCCAAAACACTGGACACTTATGTAATGGAAAGTCATTTTCCCCCTTCAGATTTGCCTAATACATTCCATGCCATTTCACTGTTTGGAACAATGTGAGGGATACATTGGAACACTAGAAAGCCCAGTTGGGTCAGCTCAAAGGCCTGTTTTGTCCAGCATCTTGTTTCTCACAGTGGCCTGCCAGATACCTTTGGGAAGCTCACAAGCAGGGCAGTGGCACTCTTCCACTATAATTGCTTCTGATGCTGGAGGTAAGACATAACATCATGTCTAAGGGTTTATTCGTGCTTCCTCTTGTCCCACTGCTTTCCCACTCTTTAGCACTCAATCAAAGCAAACAGCAATTTAGGTTTTCCTTGGATTTACATTTGTTCTGATCTATCGCTAAATATCAGGTTTTCCCTTGGAAAGGAGCAAGGGCAAGGGGGAAACCTCTTGGACCTATGCTTTCCAGGCACAACACAAGCAGAAGTATGGATGAACCCAACAGTCACCGATAGCCTTAACCTCCATGGAGTTGTCTAAGCTGATACCCATCATCATATCTTGTGGGAGCAAATTCCAACTATGTGTTGTGTGAAGAAGTACTTCCCTTTGAAGAGAATGTGTATTTCAATAACCTCTTAATACCTGCCATCAGTGATTGTCATCTTCTGGGGGCATGTACAGCTGTTTAGTTATTATTGTAATACAGCTTATGCAATTGCTATGAACACTGAGGTTGTTCTAAGAAGGTAGATATTTATCTGTACAGTTTCCATATATTACCAGCTTTAAAGTCAAATGGTCACCATGCAGACTAAGTTAAAATAGCCACGTTGCATTTCTTGGAAACTAATGGGTCTCACTGGGATGGAAGCATGTTTTTTTCTTGTATTGTGCCATATGTGGACAAATACATCCAAATAAGCTCTTTTCTCTAGAAACATAGACTACTGATTATAGTCCAGTCCTATAAATCTGCTTTGATAGGTGCAATGTTGTAAGTGACATATACCCCAGAAGTTAAAGTGGGATCCTGTGTTTGCCCAGTGGGGCACAGCCAGCCAAATCTGATTATCTGCCAACAGAACAAAAAAACAAACTGGGCTAAAATGATCTGATTCTTCAGCCACCCAAGTGGGCTTTTTAGCATATGGATATGGTGCACAGGACCTACCAGTGGGGCTGTACAAGAACTTATTTAATTGTATCAGGAAAAAAATCAATCTTAATTGTAGCCACATTGAGGACTGCTGTTGATGGCCACAGAAAGTTCATATGCATCTGCTTCCACTTGTAAACAAACCACAACTCCAGACTTTGGAGACTGTGGTTTGTTTAAGCTATGATTTAGTCAAAACAAGTCAGGATCAAGTTTTAGATCCAGTTTCTATAGTTACTTTGTCATGTTGCTTATTTTTTAACTGGAGCACACATTGGTTCTGTTGCCATTACTGTAATAGCACTCTGTGAAAACCATCTGCTTAAGGCTCTCAAAACGGCACTGCTCTGATTAACTGGAAGTTCACAGTAGAAGCTGTCATATTTGCCTTCAAGCTGACCCACATTCTGTTTCATGCTGGAAAAAAAAAATTCTAATGACTGCAGTACTGCTGATGGGTTTACAATCAAAGGCTTCCACCCTGCCCCAGTGGTTGTAAACAGTTCTGGGTGGAAGAAGTGTTCAAAAGACACTCTTAATGGTAAATAGTTGAATTTTTCCTGCTGGTGACAGGGAAGATGAGCTCACTGATACTCATCATGTCAGTTATAATCAAATACGCCGGCATCTAGCTCCTACTATGTCTGTCTCTACTGCTGCTTTTAAAGGTCAAAATAATTTAGGAAATTGAGGATTGAGGGTCAAACTACATGTCTGCATTTGCTTCTGCAGCACACATGAGAGGATACATGGATTGGGTTCAGTGCCATTATTATGATGTTCCTATTGTCACATCATCATGATAGGTGCATGGCAACCTAGTTGTCAGGTACGATGTTGGTGTTCCTGTAGTTTTCTGTTTTTGCACTCTTTGCTATTGGAAGAGAATAAGAGCATGGCTAGGTTATTCTGGTGTTAGTAGAAGCATAGAATCAGCATAGATATTATGAAGAAACTTTAATTTAGGTTATGAGTGACAGAGATGAAAATTTGTGTGTGTTCAATAATCTCTCCGGGTAAAACTACATGGAGTCCTAAGTTGTGAGAATATTTTCTCCAAGGTTTTAATGTTATTATTTTACCCAAACCAGGTAGAAGAAGATGCAATAAAGATTGGAAGTTTACACAGGGAGATAGATCATAGAATTGTAGAGTTGGAAGACACCCCAGGGTCCTCTAGTCCAACCCCCTGCAATGCAGGAATCTCAACTAGATCATACATGACAGGTGGCCATCCACTCTCTGCTTGAAAACCTCCAAGGAAGGAGAGTCCACCACTCCTCTTGGGAGTCTGTTCTACTGTTGAACATCTCTTACTGTCAGAAAGTTCTTCCTGTTGTTTTCTTGGAATCTCCTTTTGTGTAACTTGAATCCATTGGTTCGAGTGCTAGCTTCTGGAGCAGGAGAAGCTTGTTCCATCCTCCAGGCAGCTTCAAGATGAAATATCAATCATCTGAAATCTTTTCTGGTGAGTCGCTTTCCCAAATTTTCCACCCACAGGTTTTCCAGAACAGGGAAAGAAGACATTCCCCCCTATCAACCATGGAAACAACATTTCTTTGCACTGATACTGCATTAGTTTGTAAAGTTCCCCACTTTACCTGAAAACTCCTGTTTTCAAG